CTTGGGGATTGGGCAAATTACAAATTTCGGAATTCAGTCGGTTTGTTCGGTATTTCGGTTCGGTTCAAATGCGTCTGTGTTCCGAAATTTACCATATCCATTTCCGAATTTCGAACTTAATTGTATGCATTTCGGTTTCAGTCGGTTTTTGTTCGGTTCGGTTCGGTAAAACCGAACCTAATGCCCACCCCTAGACCTCGCCAGATATCTAGTCGACCTATCCTTTTTTCGGTTTAATACTGAACTTACTTTTTGTTGTTAATTGTTATTTTCCTGCTGGATAGGTCGACCTAGGAAGAACAAAGGTCGAACTTAATGGTTGTGGTAGTCACTATTTGTCTTCCAGATCGACCTAATAATTTGTCAGGTCGACCACGTCTTTGTTTTTTGGTGAATTATAGAAATTTGAAGTTGAATTATGATTTGAATTTTTCTTTAAATTGTTTAGACGATGACGCATGATGAGAGACTGCATCAAGATTTGGGTGAAATCATGAAATTGTTGAAAGTCACACAAGAGAAGCTGGTGGTGTGTCAAACACAAGTCAATGACTTTCAGAAGTCCATGCGTGATAGAGTGGAGCAATTGTCAGTTCGACTGACAGATATGACTGGGATGATGCATGACGGGTTTGAGAGGCTAGAAGGTGACTAACGTGTATTCTCGCTTGTTTGATCGCATGATGTTTGGCAACAAAAAGAAAAGAAAGTCACAAAAAGCTGTTGCCTCAAGTTCGGAATGGGAAGAGTTCAATCCCAATCTTTTCCAGGCCAAGGAGCAAAGTGACAACTATGAAGAGAAGAGAATGCACAACCGAAGGGTGGCTCCTGGAAGGCCATTGACGACGGATGCGTATTCTCATTTCGAGAATTACGGATTTTTGGGACCCTTCATCAAGCAAGAGTGGCTGAAGGTGATATCTCTGAATGTACCATACTACCCAAAAATGGTACAGTACTTCTACAACAACATCGTCTACGAGCGCAATGCAAATGGATCCATTCACGCATTCAAATCCTATGTGAATGGGGTGGTGATGCCCATCAGCAAGAATGTGTTGGCGCAAGTACTAGAGGCTCCAAACGAGGGGAAGAGAATTCATTCTTACACTGCTTGGAATGAAACTCATTTCACGAGAGCCAAGCAAATCCAGACGGTATGTGGTCTTGATGAAGAGGAAGATGCTGAGGGTCGCAGTAGGCCAACGAGTAACCACCTGACAGTTCAAGCCAGAGTGTTTCACCACATGCTTTCCTACAACATTCTGCCAAAGGGTGGACATCGGGAGACAGTCACCTACTTAGACATGGAGCTCCTCACCAACCTACTGTTAAACGAGAAGGTGAACTTGCCATACTTGATCTTTAACCACATGCTTACTGCTAGTCTTCTGCAGAGAGTTCAAACAGGAATCTTCCCTATGGGATGATGCTCACTGTGCTATTTGAGCATTTTAATGTGAATTTAAGTGAAGAGGTGGGGTTAAGAATCTCAAGGCAGGAGTTCTATACTGTTTCATCTCTGAAAAAGATGGGCTTTGAGCTGCGTAATGGTGAGTATGTCAGAATAAACAATGCTCATGGTGCCCATGGTGGTGATGATGATGATGATGATGGTGATAAAGGAGCCGGAGACGAGCCAATGCCGCAGGCACAGAGTTCAACTCCACCGATCACCTTAGAGCCTGTGTGGGAGTGTATGGATGGCATGTACGAGTACATGGGGCAAATGACCGCCCAGATGAGCACAATGCAGGTGATCGTGAATGAGATGCGAGATGAGTGGCGATCTTTCAGCGGAAGATACATGCATCTCACCACATCCGACCACCATCATGCTAGCACCACCAATGAAGAAAATGTGGATGAGGGAGAGAGGGGAGATGAGTAGGAGCGCGACGATTTTAGATTGTGTGTTTTTATTGTTAAGTGGTCAAAACGATTGTTGATTGTTATTCTGTTGTTTTTTTAGTTTTATTTTTATATGTGAACAATTATGATTTCTGTTTTATTGTATTTCTTGTTAGTTTGTTTAGTTGTTATGCTATGAATTGATGAGTCCTTGTTATCATTATTTATGACTATTTATGATGGTTTGAAACATAATTTATACGAGCAAAAGAACCAGACAAATCAACATACACAAGCAAAAAAGACACGGGGCATAGGTTGACTTTCTTGTATTCGGTCGACCTCGTACCAGATTAGGTCGACCTTGAAACCAACACTTGATCTTCATTTTACATCAAATGATTGGACACTTTGATAGAACACTTATCTTCTATCTGGTCGACCTCTTTCCTTATCCGGTCGACCATTTTGTTAATGACTGCCAATCTACCATCAAGTGGTCGACCTATATACCTTAGGTGGTCGACCATGTTGTTTATGAAGCCAACGAATTGGCCGACCGAGGTTTTATTCTGGTCGACCAAAAATAACAACTTAAACTAAGTGCGGTCGACTAGGTGGTCGTTGAGGTCGACCACAATGCTTTCTCGTGCTGCCCAAATTAGTCAATTCGGTCGACCGCCTTCAGGAATAGGTCGACCAAAAATTCCATGTCACGGTGACATGCTTGTCATAGTAGGCATACCCTAGACTTTATTATCGGTGGAGAATATCCTAGGGCACAATCCGTGATTTATAGCCTTTAAAATCGAAAGAAAATAGCATTTCGGGAAAATCGGTCGAACTCGGTGATGGTACCCCTTAGGAGTGGCAAAAAATGGACCAAGAAGAAATCGGCCTAAATCAGTGCTTAATCGATTTAATCGTCGTTGAAGAATAGCCTCAGCACCAATACTTGATCAACAACCTTAAATCCAAGGAAAATGGTCTTTCGAAAAAAACCACAAAAAAAATTACGAAAATGTCATCCGAAAATGAATTTGTCCTAATCGGTGCTCAATGAACTTAATCTTCGGTGGAGAATAGGATCCATAGACTTCACTATCAGTGGATAATAGTCTCGACCTGAATTCGTGATATGTAGCATTCGAAATCGAAAGAAAATGGTATTTCGGGAAAATTCTCCGAAATAGGTGATGGTACCCCTTTGGAGACTGCCAAAAAATGGACCCGGAAGAAATCCGCCCAAATCGTGGCTTAATGGACTTAATTATCGTTCAAGAATAGCCTCAAGCCGAATCAGTAATCTGTAGAATTCAAAATCTAAGGAAAATGGTCTTTTGAAAAAAATCGCCCAAAAAAATACGAAACTGTCATCCGAAAATGAATTCGTTTAAATCGGTGCTTAATGGACTTAATCTTCGGTGGAGAATAGGATCAATAGACTTCCTTATTGATGGAGAATAACCTCGGGTTGAATCCATGATTTGTAGCCTTCAAAATCGAAAGAAAATGGCATTTTGAAAAAATAGCCCAAAATCGTTGATGGTACCCCTTTGGAGTCTGCCAAAAATGGACGAGTAAGAAATCCACCCAAATCGGTGCTTAATGGACTAAATCATCGTTCAAGAATAGTCTCAGGGCGAATCGGTGATCTGTAGCCTTGAAAATTCAAAGAAAATGACATTTCGTAAAAAAATTGCCCAAAAATTTATGAAAAAACGTCATCCGAAAATGAATTCATTCAAATTGGTGCTTACTGGACTTAATCTTCGGTGAAAAATAGGATCAATAGACTTTGAGGAGACTGTAGTGACTGTCATTGAGACTTGCCGGATGCTTCCGATGAGATTTCTTAAGACCGTCCGCCATTTATGCTCCGACGAGCTACCTCCCGCTGATTGAAGGGTTGCTGTGAAGAAGTTTTGGCGGAGGAGAGAGAGGGAGAGAGAGAGAGGATGGGATGTTTTCTCTGTTCCCGCTTGGGCAACATCTATTTGAAATTCAATTCGCAAATTATGGGAAACATCGGGAGTCGGTGTCACTTGCTTGCCCCTTGCCACATAAGGTTGCCAAACCGATTTAAATCATTAAAACGGTCAAGTAAGGAATTTGAAGTTTATTGGTCTGATTAGGGTCCGACTGGTTTAAACCGTTTTATATTTTTACTAAATATATGTACAAATAATGTAGTAATTTAAATTTTAATGATTAAAATGAAATTTATCTTACATATATGAATTAAAATTTTTTTACCACAAAATAAAACATATTTAACTCCCATGTTCCACCCACACCTCCCTTCCTTCTTTCCCCCTCCTCTCTTCCCTCTCTCTTCTTCTCCCTCTTTAGGGGTTACACCGGGAGCTTTCTGAATGCCGTTTTGAAGCCCGACTTTGGTCGAATAGGGTCTAACCGGGGGCCCGATAAGAATTTAACAACCTTTTTGTCAGGCATTCCAGAATGTATATTGGACCGAGAAAGGATGTGCGGTTACACATTAGTCTTTCTAAATTAATTTATTTATACTACTATTTTAAGTCCTAATATTTTTTCTTTTTTGGTAGAATATTTTGACATTTTAGTTTCTTTTGAAAGATCGACACCAAAGCATAGAATTTACATTTCAATCTTCATTTTTAAGCATTGATCTTTGAGCTTTGATTCCATGAGTACATATAGCTAATTGTGAATGTCTAACTTGAGGATGTGGACGGTACATATATACATCTCTTTTAGGGTCGTCTCCTGTATGTTTCTAAAATAAGGAAACCAAAAGGCTACGTACAATAGAATCATATCAGTATTGAAATGAAGAAAAACAAAATTAATTAATGACATAAATAATTATTTCCTTTTATATGTATTCAACTGACTATAAGCTCTAAACTAGGACTAGACAATAACTTTATGAGTAGAAAACAAGATCATGGCATATCAAATTACACGATACAACCCACAAGGTGTAAACAAGAAGGTTACATCATACAAAAGGATTAGTGATGATAATAACTAATCAAGCCATATTTCCTTGCTGATGCACTAATTTCCTTTTAACAATGTTAAACGTCCCCAAATTCGACGTCAATTATGCACCTATTGCGTAAAAAAACATAAGAAGGATTTTGAAGAATCTATATTATGTACCATCAAGATTTAACACCAGAGGTCAATGGCATTTCACTCTCACTGGAACCAACAACAACCTCATTGGCAGAACTCGAAGCTCGCTTGATTCCTTGACCACCTTCCTTATCATTTTTGCCATTTTCTCCCACATTTCTAACAAAATGATGATTTTTGTTTGGGTCATCCGCCTCCTCTTTCGAATCTCTGATAAGACCTTTAGATGATTCCGACCCGCTACCACTAATCCCGATATTGTCGATATTGTTTCCGTTGCCTCCCCCTCCTCCTCCACCGCCGCCACCACCGCCAATGACTACCCTAAACCCAAAAGTACGAGATACGACACGATAGATGCAAGTGACTAACCAAAATCCCCAAGGGAGGCAAACGAGGGAGACTCCTGCAATGGGGAGCCATTGTGTGGAAGGGCTGGGAGGGAGGATCAGGTACATTATGAGGAAGCTCCCACCGAGTGTCACGGCCATGAACAAGACAACTGCTATGATCCATATGTAGAATTGGCCTGAACTTGGGTCGGCCACAGGCATTGGTAAATGTACATATACCAAAATAAAATGGCAATTAAGAAGGAAAGCGAGGGAGGGGATTATATTTGAATTTGAACGAATGAATTTCGTAAGCAAAGGTATTCCACAAGAACAAAAAGAGGAAATAAAAGAATGTGTATAATCGGGGGGTGATAAAAACAATGATCAAATTTAAGTAGTATGGATTTCTTGATTTTGGTCATTGTCCATATTTTTTTTCATGGATATACCTTTCTGTTGCTGCTGCGTAGATTGTTTGTTTGAGGATCAAACAATCGTTAACAACAACAAAAATGCATTTTCCCCCCGAGATGTAGAATGTTTGTTTGAGGATCAAACAAAACAATCGTTAACAAAAAGATGCAATTTTTTCAGAGATGTAGAAGGGGATGAGTAAAAAAGCATAACAATATATGTTGTTTAAGAATTTCTTTGTGTTTTCCTTCAAAGAAAAGGAAATGGGGGCATCGAGTGTTTTGTTCAAAGGTGTAAGATGGGATGAAAATTGAGGGATGTTGAGGAAGAGGTTAGACGTATTCAAAAAATCTATTTAGGTAAAAATTTGGTTACTAATTAGGTTTGAAATGGCTGAACTTAGGGAGCGATGTGAAGAAATGAGAAGGAGGTACGTAGAGGAGAGATTAAACCGGGTGTCGTCTTCTTTTCAAAATGGCAAGCAATTGTATCAATCAAATCAATTGGATAGACAAATTTACTAACACTCTGTTTTTTATCCTCTGTTCTCAAAGGAAGAGAGGAAAATGGAGGGGAGGGACAATTTGAAAGTTAAGAAAAATGGAAGGAAAATGGAGTTTTATGAAGGAAAGTGGAGAAGGAAAATGTGTATTGGGAATTGTGATGAATATGTTATTTTATTGAATATATAATAGTAAAACAATAAGTTATTGGGCTTCTAACCAAAGTTATATTGCGATTAACATCAAATCGTTAAATTATAATCTACATTAACATAACAAAATAAAAAATAAAAAATATATTATGCTACACTTATTTGGTAATTCATTAAAAATAATTGAATTAAATGAGTAACTAACTATCCTAATTCATGTCCTCTCACACCTCAATATTGAAAACATGAATTGAGTGTTAATATTATATTATTTTAATTAATAAATTATGAATTGATATAAATAATATTATCACAAATTACTCCTACAAATAAAATTTATGTGATGTAAATATTTTCATAAAAATATTACTCGTTCTATTATACACCAACACTACCAATTTAGTTGCACTTTGTATCGAGAATTACCAATTCAATAAACATATCTATTTATTTTTTATCATATATTTATTTATATTTACCAAATGAAAAACTGAAACAATTATGAAATTATTATTAGAATATAAAAGCAGTCCCCACACTAAAAACCGTCTCTCTATACACATCTTCTTCAACCCACTCTATTCTCTGCATCTCTCTGCTCTCTCTCTCCCTTTCTCCTTAAATCATTGCCTTCCTTCATCTTCTGGAACAAATTAATAGAAGCAATAGTAGCAGCTATGAAATTTGGTAGAAGACAAATTGGAGGGAACCCACAAAGGGGCTCTTTGCCACTGAGGGCCTATATATATGAAAGAGTAGAACTGTACAACTAGCTATCAGTCTAGTTACAGAGTTACAACGGTAAACAAAACTAATTAATTGAAGTGTCCAATGATAAAGCAACACGTGCTGTTGTACAGTATAAATGGAAAGATGTCTTGGCGCCTAACTGCGACGACGTCGTCCTTGTCTCTGCCTCTCAATCACTGCACAGCTGAATGACGTCGTATCAGTGGGTCCAAGGAACCAAGACCGGTTCATCTAATCGATCAGTTCTGGTTCGTTTACTCTGTTATGCCCCCTCAAGCTGAGCATACAGATTCTGTATGTTAAGCTTGGATAATAAGAACTGTAAACGAAACCTGCTCAAACCTTTTGTAAAAAGATCCACAATCTGGTTCTCAGTGTCAAGGTGATGAAGAGAAATGAGCTTGGACTGAAGGTATTGGCAAACCAAATGACAATCGATCTCAATGTGTTTTGTCCTCTCGTGAAACACAGGATTTTCAGCTATGTACAGAGCTGATCGATTGTCACACTAAACTTCAACTGGGCGAGGATGATCGACGTTAAGTTCTTGCAGAAGCCTCTTTACCCAAACAACTTCACAGGTAAGCTGAGCTAGGGCCCGATACTCGGCTTCTGAGGAGGAATGAGAGACTGTTCCTTGCTTCTTGGATCTACAGATTACAAGAGATTTCCCTAAGGAAATACAATAGCATGTGGTAGATCTTCTTGTGTCAGGGCAGGAAGCCCAATCTGAGTCGCTATACCCTCTGAGTTGTAGATCATAAGAGGATGGGAATAGCAGCCCTTGACTTGGGGAGTTCTTCAAGTATTTCAACACTCTGTAAGCAAGCTGAAGATGTGTTGTGGTGGGAGCATCCTGATATTGACAAAGTTGCTGGATGGCAAAGGTAATTTCAGGGCGTGTGATGGTGAGGTAGTGAATACGTCCAACAATCTTGCGAAATAAGCTGCCATTGTCGAGCAAAGGACCATCATCAGCAGACAAACGAGTTTTCATGTCAATGGGAGTAACTACAGGCTTTGAATCTGCAAAACTAGTGTTAGTAAGGAGATAAGTGCAGTACTTCTTTTGGCATAGATGAAGTCCCCCCTGATCTGGCAATCTCGACGCCAAGGAAGTATTGGAGGTTGCCAAGATCACGAATTTTGAACTGTGAGCTGAGATAAAGCTTAAGAGCTGTAATGGATTCGAGATCATCACCAACAATGATGATATCATCGACATAAACCAGAAGGATGGAACTGCCTGAGCTATTGTGGTGAGTGAACATGGAGTAGTCACTATGAGATTGCTGGTAATTGAAGCTGAGAAGGGCAGAAGTGAGTTTAGCAAACCACTGGCGTGAAGCTTGCTTCAAGCCATAAATAGACTTCTTGAGTCTACAAACCATACCAGGTTGAGAAAGTCCAGGGGGAAGTTCCATGTAAACCTCTTCATTGAGGTCCCCATTAAGGAATGCATTACTCACATCGAGCTGAAAGAGATGCCACTGTTTGGCTGCTGCCACAACAAGCAGTGTTTTAACTGAGTTTAACTTTGCCACAGGAGAGTAAGTATCTAGAAAATCCAGACCATAAATCTGTGTAAATCCCTTAGCTATGACCCTTGCTTTGTGTCTTTCAATGCTGCCATCAAGTAAGAGTTTGATTTTGTACACCCATTTACTCCCAACTGTTCTCTTATTGAGTGGTCTAGGCACAACCTCCCAAGTTTGATTTGCTGTGAGAGCATCAGCTTCCAGCTTCATTGCTTGGTTCCAGCAGTCATGTTGTGCAGCTTCTTCATAGCTACTTGGCTCTATAATGGAGTTAAGAGCTAGCACATATGATCTGTAACCTGAAGTGAGATTGGCATAGGAGAAACATGCAACCATGGGGTACCTAGGCTTGTCAACATTTGATTCCATTGATAAGACAATCATTATACTTGACAGGGGGATGATGAGCTCGAGTGGGTTTTCTGAGAACAATTGGAAGAGAAGAAGAAGAACTATCTTGAGGAACAGATATAGGAGAAGGTGTGTGAATGGCTGGAGAAGATGGAAAAGGGCTAGGTGGGATAGAAGAAGGAGATGGGGGGTCAGGATGTTCCTCAAATGTTGGAGGAATAGTGGAAGGAAGTGTAGTGTCAAGGTCTGGTAAGGTCTGGTAATGGTGTGGTGGCAAAGAAATTTGGTTCAGGTGGTGCTGGTGTATCAGGAGGTGAAGTGGAGTTTTGGGGAGGTAAGAAAGGTAGGATGCTTTCATGGAACAGAACATCTGGAGAGTGAAATACTTTCTGCTCAGAAAGGTCTAGTAACTTAAAGCTTTTAATTCCATGTGTATAACCCAAAAATACACATTGCCTGGCTCTCAGTTGGAATTTGGTGCAATGATGACTAAGTGTGCTGGCATAGCACAAGCATCCAAACACTTTAAGGTCTGAAAGGTCAGGAGGAAAGCCATAAAAGGTTTCAAATGGGGTCTTGTTTGCAAGAGTATCAGTAGGTAGTCTGTTAATTAAGAACACAGCATGTAGAACACAATCAGACCAAAACTTTAGGGGAAGACCAGATTGGAATTTAAGGAATCTGGCTACATTGAGTATGTCTTGGTGTTTTCGTTCTACCCTGGCATTTTGCTGTGGTGTTTCTACACAAGAAAGATGGTGAATAATGCCATGTTTGGAAAAGAAGTCTGGCATGTGAAACTCAGCTCCTTGATCAGAGCGGATGATTTGAACCCTTTTATCATACTAACTTTTCACCATAATGCAGTAATCTTGCAGAAGTTTTCTACCTTCACTTTTGTGTTTCATTAGAAATACCCACACGCATCTAGACTTATCAACAATGGTAAGAAAGTATTGGAATCCATTGTAAGAACAAACAACAAGTGGCCCCCAAATATCCACATGAATGAGTTCAAAAACACTCTTTGCCACAGATTGGCTTGAAGAAAAAGGTAAACTTTTTTGTTTGGACAAATGGCAGACTTAACAATGTTGAATAGACTCAACACAGACAGTGGGAATGATTTTCTGTAATTCCTTTACTCTATGCTGAGATGGATGGCCAAGTCTCCAGTGCCACAGGTTGAAGGATTCAGGTATGAGACTTTGTGTAGTTGTGGAATTGACATGTATGGTAAGATCTCCTGTGTGTTGAATGAGATGATAAAGGCCTCTAATCTCTTGGGCAGAACCAATCCTCTTGCTGGTGAGAAGGTCCTGAATGTAGCATAGGTTGGATTGAAAGGAAAGAGACACAAGAAGGAACTTAGCCAGTTTACTGACTGAAATGAGGTTAAAAGAAAAAGTAGGAACAAAAAGAACTCCATGAATAACTAGTCCTGACAATAACCTAATTGTTCCTGAGTGGGTTGCTGGGGTTTTAGAGCCATTTGGTAGTGTAATGAAAACATTAGAAACAGGTTGCTATTTAGAAAATGGTTAAATGAGCAAGTAACATGATCAGTGGCCCCAGTATTAAGAAACCAAACATTGACAAGCTCTAGTTGATGCTTCTGATAATATGTGGTCAAGGTAAATTTACCTGCATAGTTTGGACTAGCAGAGATATGCTTGGTGACTAAGTTCACTTGAACATGTTGTGAAGCTGCTCTTGGTGTAGAGCCAGTGGATGAGTTGTTGGGAGAAGTGGGTGACTGTGGTGGACTGAACTGTCCAAGTAGCTTCTGGAGTCTATGGACATCTTCAATGGAGAGTCGAAGATTAGTGAATCCTCCCCCTGATTCATTCCCATTTTGTGAGTCTGGTTTCCCAAGGATGCTATCAGAAGATGAATACACTCCTTGTAATTGACCAGCAAAGCCTCCAGATGAGTGTCCTGCTTCCCTATTCTTTCTTTTCAGCCTATAGCAATCTGCTATCACATGGTTATTCGTCTTGCAATATCTGCAAAACAAATCCCCCTTTGGTATCTCTTTTCTCTTTCCTTGAGATCCTGATGGGGCAAGAAGAGCCACTGATTCCACTGCAGATTCTTGATTTGTTTTTGCTGAAAGTTGCCTCTCATGTTGGATGGCAAAATGAAAAGCAGTCTCCATCGAGGGTAAAGGACTCATCATGAACAGGTTAGTCCTGACTCCTTCATAGGAATCATTCAGCCCCTTAAGAAACCTCATCACATATTCATTATCCCTGTACCCTTTGATTGCAACTTCAGTCACACATGGTACAGTTCTAGTATGGACATCACCACACAGACATCCTGGAATCGGAAGGAATTGGTTCAATTCCTCCCAATGACTTTTCAACTCAGTATAGAATTCATTCACAGACTTACTTCCCTGCTTTAAAGTGTAAACAACAGTTTGCAAATCACTAATCCTTATATTATCTGCTTGTCCAAATCTCTGTTTGAGATCATTCCAAACAACTTGAGCATTTTCCATGGAAGAAACAGAATCAACTAGACTAGGATGCAAGGATCCAAGAATCATGAAGAGGACTGAAGTGTTACTTTGTTCCCAAGCTGGGTAAGAAGGATGAAGCAGATATGGGATTGGGATTGTGCCATTGATGAAGCCCAGCTTGTTCTTGCTTTTAAGAGCCACACGAACTGTCCTGTTCCATTGATTGTAGTTGTTGGTACCAGTGAGTTTGATGGGGAAGACGAAAGCCTCATTAGGGTTAACATAGAAGGGGTTTGTCACAGCTGGTAGTTGTGCCTGAGCAGTGAGTGTGTTGTTGTTATTGTTGTTGTTGTTGTTGTTATTATCTCCAGAACCAGTGGTTGCGTCTGTAGATGAAGTATCTGCCATGGCAGCTGGAGTTTAGGAGGAAGATAAAATGCGGGTAAAGGATGCAGAAACCCTAGTTCTGAGAACCAGGCTCTGATACCATATGAAATTTGGTAGAAGACAAATTGGAGGGGAACCCGCAAAGGGGCTCTTTGCCACTGAGGGCCTATATATATGAAAGAGTAGAACTGTACAGCTAGCTATCAGTCTAATTACAGAGTTACAACGGTAAACAAAATTAATTAATTGAAGTGTCCAATGATAAAGCAACACATGCTGATGTACAGTATAAATGGAAAGATGTCTTGGCGCCTAACTGCGATGACGTCGTCCTTGTCTCTGCCTCTCAATCACTGCACAGCTGAATGATGTCGTATCAGTGGGTCCAAAGAACCAAGACCGGTTCATCCAATCGATCAGTTCTGGTTCGTTTACTCTGTTAGCAGCATCTCTTTGATCAAACCAAGCAATCACCGCTGGGGAGGGTAAGAAATAGATTAGAAAGTATGGCGAGAAACCCTGTCCACCCACCTTCTTCAGTTTTTGCTGATCGGAACTCTCCACCCAAAACGTAGGATCTGCTATTCAAAATTGTAGAACCACAAGAAGCTATCGACCGCCTCATTATTCGACCACAAGCAACAAATTCCAAGCTGTGCTCCCCCAGTGATGGGATTGGTGTTGTCAGTGGCGGACTCAGGATTATTGAAAAGGAGGGTCGTCGATAAAAAAATTATAATAAATAAAAAAATTAAATAAAAATTTAATAGAAATGACTGGAAATTCATTTATAACTTCACAACGTCATGTTTACTATGAATTATGACGATTTTTATATCCTAATTTTTTTTTAAAATACATTAATCGTTTATGTTGCAAATTAAACCTTTTTTCGATATACACAATTACACAATCATTCATAAATTAGTCACTCAACCAAAGAGAATCGACCTACGTCTAAAATCAAATTAAGTTAAAATAAATTAGTTTACAATCAAATATAGTAAACTACAATCTACCAATCAACAATTTTAGAAAAAACAAAGTATGCCTAAAGTCATATCATTAGCATTTTTTCTCTAGTTCTATCAAATTAACCAAAATCAAACCACAATCTCCCATCTATATTTGCAAGTCACCTATTAATTACAAATCGAAAAGTTAAATTGGGTTGTGGGTTACTTAAAACAAACATGCTTATTTGATTTTACTTATTATTTTTAAATTTGATTTTCTCTATTGTCGTATAATGAAGGTGTGTCGCTTATAATTATTAGAGTGGTGTCGGAAGTCCCAACTTAAAAAATTTTGTACCAAAAAAATGGAGGTCCTTCACAAAATTTTCGGACGGAGGGGTGTCGGACGACACCCTCCCCTAGCCCTAGGTCCGCCCCTGGGTGATGTTGCATGCCTGCATGCATCTCTATTCACTAGATTAGCTATTTTTGTTAATGCAATTTTCTGGTTTCATTGGTTTTGTAGGATTTTGATGCTTCTTTTCCTTTTTTTTTATTTAGATTTCGAACTGGCAAAAATTAGGAATAGCGACGATGGTCTAAGCCCCGTCAGCGCCGGACGGTGAACTTGGTGAGTTTTTTTGTTAATTTTTGTTTAATTTTTCTTTCATTCGTATTCCGATTATTTTATTTCTTTTGTATGTGTTTTATCCAAGAACAATGGTGCTGGACTGCTGGTTCAGTTTTTGGTGTTTGGGGAAAGAAAACGAAGAAAAAGAAGAAAGAGAGAGAAGAGAGATTAAGCAAATAATAATAATAATAAAAAGAATAAATGCCCGCATTCGTTTTCTCTCCGAATGGGGGTGGGGGAACTCCTCGGGAGTTGTATTTCTCCTCCCCTCCATTTCCATCCTTGCGGAACACAAACAGGTTTGGTTTCTAACTGTATTTTGAATTGAGATAAAAGTCAAACTCAATTAAATATAGATTAGAAATGCATTATCCGGTCTAATCCAACCAATTGAAGCAATTATAACTTTATTATTTTATCGTCTTTTTATGGATTGGTCACTAAAAACAAAAATAAATTTTGACCATTATTATTGCTCGTTACTGTGGCAAGTGATTCAAAACTCGCTCGTAGAGGACTAGGCAATACATATATATGTATCTACACATGCATACCACAAATTACTATTAGTTATGCTTATATTAATATACATATACTTTGATTGAAGAAAAAGTAGATTGCTCAAGTAATCAATTGTATAATCTCTCTTTTCCCTAGCCTAAGATTTAGTACCACTATTGTGAGAAGACCATCCAAGCAAAGCAAGCAGCATCCCAGGCAACCCACCATTCATGAGGCCCTTCATTACCATTTGCTTCTTTGGAGTGTAAGGTGGGTACCTTAGAGAAGCATCCCCACTGAAGCTTCTGTAGAGGACTGACTTCTTGTGGCTGAATGCATCAAATGAGAACTTGCCATGGTATGATCCCATTCCACTCTCCCCAACTCCTCCAAATGGCATTGTGTGAACTGTCACCTGAATGCAGCTAATATACAATAATGTCAAAGATCCACACGTACTCAATAATCGAAAGGTCCAGTGAAAGAAAGAAAGAAAGAAAGCTATATATCATTCCCACATTACTATTAGCTAGGCCAATGAGTAATACGTACGTGGAGTATGGTGTCATTGATGGACATGCCTCCAGAGGGAACATTCTCCACAAAATCCTGCTTCAGCTGCTCATCTTCTGTAAAGAGGTATGCTGCTAGAGGTTTTGGTTTGGAGTTTATCACTTGAAAGGATTCCTTCAAATTGCCTACCGTGACAATGGGAAGCAATGGTCCAAAGATCTCTTCCTGCATGATTTGGGACTCCTGAGGAGGATCCAATACTATGGTTGGATCTATCTTCCTGCACCAGCCATTTATCGATATGGTCGAATGAATTAATTAATGACGACCTTAATGATATGAGTGTTACTTTAACTTCGCCCCATACATAGATCAAGTATATAGTTACTACCGAATATGAAGAAGAAAAGGAAGTGAGAAAGCAAAGAGAGAAGTAAGAAACCTTACAATCTAGTTGAATCCCTGCGGCCACCAAGGACAAGTTTGTCAGAGACATTATCCTCATCCAGAAGCCCAACCAAACGTTTGAATTGGGCAGGGCTCACAATCCTGGAAATGTCCTTTGACTCCATTGGGTCCTTCCCAAAGAACTCCTCTATCCCTTTTCTAAGACCTTCTATCTGTTCCCCCAAGGAAGTAATTTAATTAAGCATCATTAATTAATTAGGAGACTCATTACCAACTTGGTTAAAATAAAAACCTCTAGTCTAGTGAACTGGCCGGTCCTTACCAACTTTGGAGCAAAGTCTTTAGTAGTTATGATGTAATCAACTCCAATGCAGGCTTGTCCATTGTTGCATTGCCATTTCCCTGCTATGATCCTCCTCACAGCAACCTTAATTTCTCAACAAACATGACTACGTACTGATGAGCAAGCCTGCAAATGTTGAACTTATAGTGTGAAGTAACATAAAAATCTACGTACGTACCTCTAGATTGACATTGGAATCCACAACAGCAGGGCATTTGCCACCCAGTTCAAGCACCACAGGGGTCAGGTGCTTGGCCGCGGCAGCCATTACAATCCTGCCCACTCTAGCACTTCCTGTGTAGAGAATCTTATCCCACTGTTGGTCCAACAATGCAGAGGTTTCAGGGATGGCCCCTTCAACAACTTTGACGGCAGAATCGTCCAGGTAGTCCTTCACTAGCTTGGACAGAAGTGAAGATGTAGCCGGAGCAATCTCTGATGGCTTCAGAACCACTGCATTTCCTGCTGCTATGGCTCCAATCACTGGATCAATAGACAGCACTGGAAGTGGAACATCCACCAAAAACAGAGATACAAATTAATTAAGACCAATTGTTCAAACTCTGGCGGCAAGCAAAATAGTATCGTTGGGAGATCGAATGAATTGGTGGTAGAATAGAATGCTTACAGAAGGGGAAGTTCCAGGTTGAGATGACCAGCACTACCCCTAAAGGGTCAGAGACAATCTCTGCTGTAGATGGGTATGTTGAAATGCCGGTTTTGGCCTGCAGAAGATTAAAAAAAAAAAAAAAGGTATATATTAGTAACTAACCATCAGGCTAACATTATTTATATGTAGTTGTGTAAATAATAAAAGGACAATCAAAGTTCATATACAATGATTGCTAACAAATATGCTCTAATATTACTGGTTAGGACAAGAGAAGATGAAAAGGGTAGTATAGTATTTTACCTTTTCAGGCTTCATCCAATCTTGGAGCCCTTCTATGGCCTCCCTGCATGAAGACTTGGCCATTGAAATCTGCAACAGAAACCCCATATATAAACCAATAAGAAAGAAAGAAAGAAAACATCCAAATATCAGCACAACAAATCAATAAGATCAAACCTCAGCAACAAAGGCTTCAAGTGGCGGCTTGGAGAGGTCCTGGTAAAGGGCCTGAACGATGTCGCTTTCCCTCTCCTCGACCATTTTAGCAATCCCTTTCAGCTGAGAGACCCGCCATTGATAACTCTTGGTCTTCCCAGATTTGAAGCTCTGCCTCAGCTGCTTCACCATCGAAGAAGCTTCATTCGGCCCAAACGTCACCGTTTGCGGCTGCTTCTTCTTCTTCTTCTCTTCCTCCTCCCATAGTACAGGAGGCACAGTCACAGAGCATCTGTTGGAAGTTGGTAACAGGGAGAGAATAATCATACCTGTTTAATTTTCTCTGGATATGGACACAAATTACTTACTTGGGTTTCTAAAAGGTATATATATATGAAGAAGAATTAAACCATATTTTGATAACAATAATGTTTTTGTCTTTATTTTGCAAAGTTAAGTGTAAATCCCAATGCCACACAATTCGTTGATTCAAGTATCACCAAAACCAAACTACTCCTAAATTATTTATATATATTTTAGACTCCTAAACGGTGATTTACTTTAGTATATCATTGTTAAAATAATGTTAGAATTAAATAATCCATTCAACCGGTAATACATCCTTATAATATCATTTATCAAAATTGTTAAAATCGGTTGATATACTAAGAATAGAGCCATTTGACTATATTATACATCATTACAAATGTGTATCATAATAAACTGACATACGGTACGGTTTGATATCTAATATGGTATACGGTTTCACAAACTATGAGTTCCCAACACTTTGAGAATTCGGGTGCAAATAAAATACCATTCAATATCATGTGATTCATGTCCATCGCTTGTAAATACTAGATAACAATTAAATCCCACCAATGTTATATAAGAACGTTCATTAGCCCTTTGAACATCATCTTAATCAAACTGCAAACCCTTCCACAATTGACTTGTTTATAGACCGGCATTTTGTACTTTGTGACACAGCAACGAATATGTGTGGACGTGAAAGAGAGAGGGAGTAGAATTATTACGAGCATATAAAGTTGTTCTTCTTGTTGTTGATGCGACCGCCGGCTGCTGGATGAACGGCGGACGGGACGACGAGATGCCTTTTGTGGTCGTTGTCGTGTTTTGGATGGCCGTCACCGATTCTGCCGTCTGCCAAAATAGCCCTGTCGCGTTACCAAAAGGGAATCCAAAGTGAGAAAGGAGAAGGACGGTCGCCGCCCCCGCCGTCGTTATGTAATTCATCTTTTAGCTACGGCCGAATAATTCTCTATAGAAGGAAAATAACAAGAAGTGATTGAGGCTCATTCATTCGCCAGCGTTCAATCAGTAACGAGGCTAGGATTTGAAATTAGAGGGATTTGTAGAGGAAAAAATTCTCATGACATAATGAAGACACATAATTACTTGTCGAATTTTTTTCATATATTTATTCGAATAATGACAACTTAACTAAGGAAAAAAATATAGGATTACATAATTAATTCATGGATTAGATTACACATTTTACTGCTATCAAAATACTATTACGATAATAAACATGCTATTTAATTAAAATACGAAATTTACTGCTACCAAACCTTTGTAATTAAGGTATCAATAATGATGAGGCCAGGGTGTTTATGGATTAGATCAAACATTTTCTTGCTATCAAGTACAATTAAAGTAACAATAATGAAATGTGGAACAGACTACGAGAGAGCTCGCTACTACTGTAACACAACAGAGGAAAATATAGAGACAGCCAGGCCGGAGACAACTCCAACCCTCGCAGCTAAGGAGCCTGAAACTCTGTATGGGGAATGGATGGTAGCAAAGAAGAAGCCGAGACCAGCCCGGTCGAGTGTTCCTGCTGCCTCGGTGGGGAAAACAGTAGAGAAAAAGAACAAAACGAGGCCGCGCTTTGAAGTGCTAAACTCGGGACAAGTAGAAGGGGATACCAGTGATACCTCCCATGCAAAGAAAGCCCAGTCGAAAAGCGCACCGCCAGCTGGTCAGGTGGTTAATAATGATTCACATCTGAAGGTTCCACAAGAGAAGGAAAAGGTCATGGACAAGGGTAAACAATCTGGGCGGTTGGAAAAGAACATAGTCCCTGATGCTGTCCCAACGCGTCAAACCATGCAAACCATGCAGGACGTGCGAATGGAAGAGCCAGCGGATCTTGAGCAGACCCTGAACCGCCAAACGAAACCACCGGATCCTACAACGTTGGCTGCAGAGAGTCGTACTCCAAGTGAGAAAACAAATGCTGTAAGGGATGGACAATCTAGAGATGGTGCGGGGAACCTATCCCCTTTGGGTGATCAATGAGGATACTCAACTACAACTGCCGCGGACTGGGGAGTAAGCGTGCAGTTCGAGCTCTCAAGTCGCTTTTGCGACTTTACTCCCCTCAAGTGGTTTTTTTAATGGAAACCAAGCAAACAAAAGATGAGAATGAAGAGACACGGAAAGAACTTGGATATCATGGCGGAGACTGTTGGCCGACTGATCTATCTCGAGGAGGTAGATCTGGTGGGTTGAGTGTGTGGTGGATTGAAGAAACCAACTTGACGGTCATGCGTACTGAGGAACACTACATTGGTACGAAGATAGTGGAGGAGGGTGAGGTTTACTGGAGATTTACAGTAGTTTATGGATGGCCAGGGGCAGGAGAGAAGGCCAATACCTGGGAGCTTCTCCGTAGGTTATCAAATCAAGGGGATGGGCCTTGGCTTTGTGGTGGCAATTTGAATGAAATCCTCTTGATGGAGGAGAAACGTGGAGGTCAGGCTAGGCCGGTGGCGGAGATGGTGGCTTTTCATGATGGGCTTGTTGATTCGGGATTGCGGGATTTAGGCTTTGAAGGTCCGTCCTTTACGTGGGAGAACATGCGCCGGACTGGGAGATACATGGAGGAAAGACTAGATCGGTTTACTGGTTCTGATGACTGGTTGTCCATATTTCCTAATGCTCGGGTACGCCACTTGGACAAAACGAGGTCATATCACCGGCCGATCACCTGTGATACTCGTGGTGGTGAAGATGAGGAACCGAAGTGGGGTTGGAGCTTTCGTTTCGACCCGTTCTGGGAAAATCATGAGGAAAGCAAGGGAGTTGTCGTGGAAGCTTGGCAAAATCTTGGCTCTAGTGATATTATGACCAAGATTAATATGTGCAGGGATCGCTTAGAGTCGTGGAATAGCGCCACCTTCCCCAACTTTGGGCGACAGAAGGCCAAAATTAGAAGAGCAATCAGAGCACTGGAGAAGATGCCCTGAAGCCCGGTGGTGGAAAGGCAGATGTGGAAGCTTGAGGATGAACTGGTCAAAATCGAAAATGACGAGGAAAATTATTGAAAATAGAGATCACGGTCAGACTGGTTAAAGGAAGCGGACAAGAACACGAACTTCTTTCACAAGAAAGCTTCGGCTCGACGAAGGAGAAATATGATTCGAAAGCTACATGATGATTCCGCTAGGTGGTATAAGGGGACAGATCAGCTTTTTGATTGTTTTAGCAATTATTATGGTTTGTTGTTCTCGGCAGGGGACATCCCCACGTCTACCCCAGTATTGGATGCCATTCCAAGCACCATTACTATGGCGGATAATGATGATCTGCTACTTCGGCCGGTTGATAGGGAGGAGGTTGTCGGTGATCTTAAGCATATGGGACGTCGTAAGGCGCCAGGGGCTGATGGTCTCTCGGCCTTCTTTTTCAGGAAGTATTGGGACATCATCGGTGATTATGTGGTGCAAACTGTGACAGCTATCATTGAGAAGGAAGAGATGCCAATGGGACTGAACCACACGCTGATAGCGTTGATTCCGAAGGTGAAGCAGCCAAAATATCCCAAGGAATTCAGACCAATCAGCTTGTGTAATATCTTGTACAAGATTGCAGCGAAAGTTCTGGCGAATAGGCTGAAGTTGTTTCTAAATAAGGTCATATCCCAAGAGCATAGCGCCTTTGTTCCTGGAAGATTCATTACAGACAATGTGATGGCTGCATTTGAGTGCTTTCATTCGATGAAGAAGAAGAAAAAAACCAAGGGACCGGGGGTTCTGATGGCAAAAATTGATATGGCAAAAGCATATGATAGAGCTGAGTGACACTTCCTAGCTGGGGTTATGAGGAAGATGGGATTTGCGGAGAGATGGGTGCGGGTGATTATGCTCTGTGTGAGTTCAGTCACGTACTCGACCCTTATCAATGGGCATCAGTCTCCCAAGTTCGCGCCGAGCCGTGGACTCCGGCAAGGGGATCCCCTGTCCCCATACCTTTTCCCCTGCGTGCGGAAGGGCTCTCAGCATACACCTCTCTTGTTGTTCGAGAGAAGAGATTACATGGGTTTCAACCGGCGGTCGGTGCACCGATGGTATCACATTTTTTTCCGCTGACAATAGTATATTTTTTGCCATGGCTACGCTCCAGGAAAGCAATGTACTCAAGAGCATGCTAACAGATTATGAGCAAGAATCGGGGCAGAAAGTTAGCTTTGAGAAGTCTGACGTATCATTCAGTTCTGATGTGTCCGTCTATCGTCAGCTGAAGATAGGAGGAGTGCTTGGGATGACTCGCATGAGCAAACACAACAAATATCTGGGACTAGCCACCGAAGCAGGAAGATCAAAGAAGGAACTACTTGAGGAGATCAAGACTCGATTGCAGAAGAAGCTGAATGGATGGAAGGAGCGTGCTCTCTCAGTTGCTGCCCGGGAAGTTTTGATTAAATCGGTGGCACAAGCCCAATTCTCCTATGCAATGTCGGTTTTCAGGATTCTGGATGGAGTTATTGATGATGTTCATAGTCTTATTATGAAGTTCTGGTCTGCGTCAGGAAGAGATGGTTAGCTCGAAGAGGGATGGGGGAATGGGGTTCCAGGACCTCAGGGGATTCAATGAGGCACTGCTTGCCAAACCACTCTGGAATTTAATGCAGAGACCCAACTCGTTGATTTCAAGGATTCTGGAGGCAAAATACCACAAGAGAACTTCTATCTTCGATGCAAAGCTCGGGTATCAGTCGAGCTTTGTATGGCGCAGCCTCCTCAGTGCGCAGAACCTCCTAACCAGCGGCCTCCGTTGGAGAATAGGTAACGGTTTGTATGTTAAGATTTGGGGGGATTGATGGATACCCGGAGTGGAGAACCAGTTTGTTACTTCGGACCTGGTAGGTCTCCCGGTGGACTCATACGTTTGGGAGTTAATTGATCACGAGAGAAATTCTTGGGATGACACGCTGCTGGAGGCTTGTTTCCCGACGGTTGTGGCCATGGCTATTCGTCAGATCCCCATTCGGGGAAACGATGAAGTGGACAAGTTGATATGGCATGAAAGTAAGACCGGTATATACACTGTCAGGGATGGTTATCATAAGTGGCTCCGTAACTTCCAGCGGGAACACGGGGTAAAGCTAGTGGGAGATACGAAATTGTGGAAGAAGATTTGGAGTCTAGGAGTTCAACCAAAAGTGCGTCATTTCCTGTGGAAGTTTGCGAGGGAGATCCTTCCAACGGGGGAAGTGGTTAGTAACTATAACCCAAGGCGGAGTGATGCTTGTCCATTTTGTAACCAGCGTGAGACTCAAGTCCACATCTTCTCGGAATGTCAGTGGTCGTCCCGTATTTGGCGTAAGACTGATGTTGCTGCCATGTTCAGTGCTAGAGGCCCCGATTCGTGTCAGAAGTGGTGCTCAAAAGTTATGGAAATGGGAGATCAAAGAAAGATAGAAGAATGGTGCGTGCTGCTTTGGTATCTCTGGAAGGAGAGAAACACTCATCTGTTTAATGGAGCTAAACTTCCCGAGGAGGAGATCCCAATTCGAGCTAAGTACCTACTAGCGGAGTACAAACAACACCAAGCTTCGGATGACAGCACCACTGTGCAGATGGAACGCAAGCCGTGGAGGAAACCCCTGATCGGCTCTATTTTCGTGTGCACCGATGCTGGGATCTTAGATGGCGGGGGGAGCTGGGCTTGGAGTGATTATTAGAGATGATGCTGGCAAGTTTCTTTTGGCTTCCGCGAAGAGAGTCAGAGGGTCTTGGTCTGCAGAAGTGGCTGAAGCTCTAGCAGCGGAGATGGGAGTCCAGGTGGCCTTCCAGTTTCATCTTACCAACGTAATCCTTGAGCTGGATTGCATGAACCTGGTGCATAAGCTCCGGTCATCGGAGATTGTACATGATGAAGTGGGAGTGATTTGCCGAAGCATTAGAAGATATATGTAGGAGTTGGGCAATAGTACTTGGCATCATATTAATAGAGAGGCTAATGCATTGGCACACCTAGTCGCTCATGCGGAGGTTAGTTGGGATGAGAGAATGATTTGGGTCGATAATCCGCCTAGTTTCCTTAAGGACCAGCTGCAGCTGGACATTGTAACCATGGTTTCTGATTAATATAGCCGAACATAGATTCTGGTAAAAAAAAAAACTCACTCAAACCATAAACTTAGTCATTTCTGCCAGGAAAGTATTATCATAACATGATTTTAATATTTTAGGAGGACCATGGCCCCATGCCGGAGCCACTGCGTTGAGTCATTCTAAAGAGTATATTTAGCAAAACTCCATTTAATATACATTTTCATACTATTATAGACTTCTTTGCATTTTTCTTGTTTATTTGGTGCTTCACATACTACTATACTAGTGCATATACAATACATATTTTAAGAAATTTGATTGATAATTTAATAATTATAACTTACAAAATTTTAATTAATTTTATAACCGAGGTCGAACTTCTTAACATAAAATTAAGTATAAAATTTATTACGTATTAAAGCCGCAACATATCAGTATCATATATATTATTAATATTAACTATGCTAAAAGAGGGGTGAATTACAAACAGCCACCATCACCAAAAAAAACTTTTCCAAAAACCACCAGCGAATTATTAAAACCAAACATTTCAGTCCATTCTTACGGTTCCACGACGGAGAGGTAAATTATTAATGATAGGGGAAGATGATGATCAGAACGATAGAAAAAAAGGGATCGATGCATGCATGATAAAAGCAGTCAAGCAGAGTACCGGAATTCTGGAACTGGAGCCGGCGGGAATCTGCCGGCGGCGGCGGCGACCGTGCTGCAAAATACGGCGGGGTTCCGCATCCCTCTTCTACCAAACCGAGATCTTTTCTCGTGCTATATATGTTTCCAATGGAACTGCTCTTTTCCTCTCTGATCAGCTCACCTCACGGTACTCAAAGAAAGAATCAACGTTTAATTCTTATATAGCAGCAGAGGGAATTCTCTTACCAGTTTCAGAAACTGTGGAAGCTAGGAGAGTGGAAAGAGAGAAAGTGGGCACGGAGGACAGGGAGGACAGGGACAGGACAGTGCGAGTAATAAGTAATAACAGAGAAGACGTTGACCTGAGAAGTTATTGCAACCACTGGTCAAGACCAAACAAGAAAAGGGATAACGTTGGGTGTACAATTAGCTCCTTCCTCCTCCACTTTCCACTCTACTTGTGTGAAGGAAAATGCCTCGTAACAAACCCACGTACCGACTTTATTGTGTTAGTTGGTTTGGTTGCCCTTTTTAACTTGTTTTGCTTTCTTTCCTAGATATTTCTCCTACTGTTCTTTAGGGTATAGACACATTTCTTATATTTATATGTGCAGTAAAAAAACATGTGCAACGTTTTTGTTATCAGTCATTCCATTGTTTAGTTTACTCCCCTTCCCCTGCAGATAGATTCTTTTTTAGAGGTTTACAAAAGTAGAATTGCAACCAACATCACTATATCAATACGACACCGTTTAAATTAAAAAGAATGGTGCGATATGATGTTACAAACAATTATCATTTATTGAAAGTAGCTTTCTCCTCCGGGTTGGTTGATGAGACCAACTTCATTGAGAATAAGAATGGGGTTGAGCTTTGATATGAGTTTTTCGTTCGATTTCTTTAGGGTGTAAAAAAAATAATGTAAATGGGGTTCCAAGAATTTAAGAAAATTTTTTGGCGGAGAAAATTGCAAGCGAATAAAAAAAAACACATCCCAATCTTATTCCACTCAAGAACTATTTACAACAATTATGTACAAAACCTAAGATACTCCATCACCCATCTAACCCTCTAACTTATGACGTTAAAGAAGCGCCAACGGAACATACATAGTGGAGATGACATTTAGGTATACACCCAAAATTTATTGTCTCATTCTCGGAGTCTTTTAATGTGTTTGATCGATTAGATACAATTTCTGGGCATCATCAATCATATTTGCATCCACAACTCGGCCTCCATCTTCCGTCACAATACAAGTAGTAGTGGAATCCAAATCCGAATCCTCCACGCTCTGAAACTCCAGCTGCTCGGCTGCAGATTTTATGAGCTCTTCAATGGAGTTTGGCACCCATAACAGTATCCCAACTCTCTTTCTCTCCTCCACTGGACACCAGGGATGGAATGGGAACACCGTGCATTTTCTCGAGTGATGTGTTTCTGTCACAATGAGGGGGAAATGGGCAGCACAAAATGATCAGAAGCTCAACTTGGATGAGGCAACAATAAGCAAAAGCGGCAGGTTACTCCTATTCACCATTGGCTTACCTCTGGTTCCTTGAGAGCTATCAGCCATTTCTGCCAACTGTGCAGTCTTAGCACCATCCAAAAGGTTGATCAAGTTCTTATTCCCACACTTCCGGCCTTCATCCAATGGCGTGTTTCCCCACCTGCAAAGAGCCAAGCCGTAAGCCATCAACATGTTCGTTGCTGTATAGCTGCATACCGATTATGTTCCAAGTTAAACAAGCAAGCAAGCATTAGATTCATATTAATTACTACGTACCTGTCCTTTGTAAAGACACTGGCTCCAGCTTCTACCAGCAATTTGGCCATCAAGTAGAGCCCTTCGGAGGCAGCTACATGAAGTGGAGTCCGGTGATCGTAGTCCTTTGAGTTTGGATCAATCCCGTAGGCTAAAATCCTCTTGAGAAAATCAGAGTCTCCTCTTGCAACTGACGTGCACAGGAAGCTACCTGCATCGTCTATGTTCAAGGAGGCACCTTTCTCGACAAGTAACGACGCAACTCGATCGTGACCGCTTTTGATAGCTTCCATCAATGGCGTGTTCCCGAATTTATCTGCGTAAATGTATCCAGAGAATCAACAAGTCAGTCACTTTAGCTTGATCGAACCAGACCTAATTGATATATATGAATCAGACTAGCACGTGTCAAAATTGATTCAACTTGATCTCAATTCAAACTTATGAAACTTTCCCCCAAAGAAATCGAAGAAATAGACCTAGTGAACACTATGATGGACCAAATAGGGATTACCGGGCCACAAGGAACCATGATCAGAGTATGGTCCCAAACCATGGGACAGATAAAAAAAATGAGGAAAAGATGAGAACCATAGCATAAAGAGCACATTCAATTCAGTTTGATTTCCATTTGAACCGTTTGATTCTTTGTTTTTAGAATACTGAAACCAAATTTTATCAAAATATATCGATCAAATCCAGTCTTACTAAAAGTCGAATTGGGTCCGGAACTGAACTGAGAGCAGAATCAATGTTAGTCACACCAAGTTACCTTTCATGTTGACATCAACTCCCTTCCCTATGAGGAAGCTAGCCATGTCTTCATAACCCCTCGATGCTGCAAGATGCTGTTTTCCAAAGAAACAAATAAGTGTCACGGATCATAGTAATCGTAAGGAAAAAAAGTTCCAAGGTATATGCAAAACCCAAAAAAGCCAAAGCGTTTGCTGGTTTCAGTACCAATGGTGCTCTGCCATCATAATCAGTTCTGTTGGGATCAGCTCCAGCTCTAATGAAGCCCTTCAGCTGGAAGAGATCCCCATGGAAAGCAGCACTGTTCACTCTCAAAGCAAGCTCAGCTTCTTGCTTTCCTATGTGGAATGTGATGTCTGATTCAAGGTTCTTCTCTCGCAGAGTTGTTTCTTGTGCCTGTCAACAAAAAGTTTCGCCATTAAAACAACTCAGCTTTTCGCCTTCCATTCCATAACAAGTTATAAAATCACAAATGGTAGAGAGACTAAGAGCTTCATGTATGTACCTCTAGGAGGTTGTTCAAAATCTTGCGCCCATCGTAGAAGAATATCTCAAGTATGTCTGAGAAGGACTGTTTGTCTAGTCGCAGGAGCCTGCATAGCTCACAGACTCGAACTGTGTAAGGTTGAGGAATGTTGCAAATGATCGAGATTTCTCCAAAAGAGCTGTTTGGTTGTAGAAGTGAAATTGTTTCTTCTGATCCATCTTCTCCCATGCCAACTTCCTCCTGCTCCACGGAAGACCAAAACCAAAAGCTCATGTATAAAATAAGTCTTTCAAGTTGCAGCAACTAATATTTGAATATAGGTAAAGTAGCATGAGCAGTGGAATCATCATATTCATACCAGAGCGCCCTGGCAAACAAAGTATAGCTGGTCTACAACACTTCCTTGTTCCAATATTACTTCTCCTGGAAGAAAAAACTCTTCATGGAGTCTAACAGCCTGAAATATGGAAGGAATGCATATGTCAGAATAGAGTAGAATGTGTCTATAAGCTGAAGAAACTCTGAATCATTGTACCAGAGATGACTCACAATCTGATTGATAAATTCCGTAGAGCACCCATTAAACAGGCCAACTTTTTCAATGATGGGAAGGTACAAAGTTTCTGAGATCTGCAAGGAAAAAGTTAATTGTTAAGAAACAAGAGAATGGGGTACTAATGCCACGGGAAAGGAAAGCAATCAAGATTTACTCCCAAGTTCTAACCTTAGCACGAATTGAAATTGGAATGTCCCGAAGAACAGAGGCCTCAGTGTAACTACGCTCATACTGCAACCTCAAATGGCCTTTGATCTGGTTACGGATGTCCCTTCCAAGTTGATTCCTGTTCATATACTTGATCAGGTCTGTCATTTTGTCCCTGTACTTCTCTGTCTTGGATCCTTTCACGATTAATGCGGTCATGTTACCAATCAAGTAAGCTCCGAGAATCATGTCAAATGATACGTAGATCATGACGAATATCATCTCCCTTAGATTGACAGCATGGATATCGCCATACCCTGCCATTAGAAAGGTATCATATTGGCTCAGGATTACCAGCATAAGCAAGTGACTGTTTATGTAGTAATCGACTCCTTAGTTGTGTGAGTGTTGAAAGAAGAGGATGACTCACCAACTGTAGCCATAGTAATAATGGCAAAATATAAAGATGTTGTGTATCGTTTCCAGATATCAATATCTCTGAAATGTGCGTAACTGTAATCACCCATCTTCAGACTTCCAATCCATGTGTAACCTTCTTTGGAAGCTGGTAGAGTAGTGGCCAAATAGTAAAATATGCATGCCGCTGTGTGTGTACAGTAGAGTTCCACTGCAATGAGCTTTATAATTCTAGTGAAGAGATAATTAATCCTTATGTCTTTCTCCATCTTATGGAAAAACTCTGTAACTCTCCTCACCCGCCATAACCTTAACCACAATAGATACCTCACTTCTTCCTTACGTCCAGAAGCCTGTATAAAGGAAAATTCATCAAAGAGCATGAAAAGAAGGAAGAGCGACTAAATGGCATCTTTTATCTCTTTTGTTTTAACAAGTAAATTGTTGTAGCATTAAATTTAACAAACGTGCCCTCGTAGTATGCTGTTTATACATTTCAAGACTATGCAGCGTTAAAAATCTCATCCAAATCCCTTGCTAATGAAGTTAACCCATTTTCGGTACACATTCTATATAGTAAATTCCATCTTTTGCCCCCTCAATCTGGCCCCATTAACCAATCTTGGCCCCCTTAAGTCTCAAATGAGATTCATTGTTTAACAGCAAATATTCACAAGCAAACACAGTAGGGCTGAAGTTAATGGTTAATGAGAAGATTCTGGTCCTATTTCAGTAAACAGCAAGCTCACAAGGCAGCTTAAACATGGAATGGCTACAAGGAAAACAGAACAAATCAAATACCTTGTAGATGATATCCCAAGGCATGCAACAGAGCAAATCAACGATAAAATGAGACTTTAAATACCTGTAACAAGACTAAGAACCAGGGACTGCAATTAGCAAAAAAATTAAACATTCACATAGCATATATAATAATATAGAATTTGAACTTTTGGATAGATACACAGTTCTTTATGAAGGAAGAAAAAGAAGAAAAAAAACTGACCGAAGAGCAATTGGTGTGCGCTTGTAGACCATGCGATAAGTTTGTGGGTCTCTGTAGGAAATAAAGAACTGCAGAGCAATGTCCAGAAGGAAAGCAATCTGCCCAACAATGTCCAAAATGAAGAGGTTCTCAGGTAACCCCCTGAAGAAACCGAACTCCATGGGCGTGAAGAATGATGAGTAGACTGCCCATAGCAGAATGAACTTGGACCATGCACGATACCATCTGCAGCAAAAGAAAAGGTACACTTTTTTAGGAACATAGCAAGCAAGTGTTGATAAGACAACGATGGAGAGCATAGAGAAATAGGTAGCAAGTCTCAAAGTCAACCTGCTCGTGCTCTCCTATCCCTTATCCAGCACATGCATGCAGAGCACCATTAACAGTATTAATGGACAAGAGGATTAGGTAGAGACTATGAACAACTGGGAAGGTTAGACCAAACTCAATGGAGCTTGAAAACAGTAGCCAGAGGACTCGGAGAAGAAACTAAAACATGACACGAAAGTTTGTTGAACAACTGCTTCTACTATTGTTAAACAATGGCTGATTTAATTGCCGCTGCAACACTCTTTTAACTTTTGCTCGGTTCCACTCCTTCCCCTAACAAATCTATGATCTTGTCTTGTGTTAAAAAAAACTTGGCCAAGGCAAACCACTACTATATTAGAGAAAAGATGAATGATTGATGCATGCCAGAGGGAAGTCAAAGAAATAGCGACAAAGATTGGTGGGCAACTGGGATTTTGCCACGACGTGGGGGAACCTAAAAGACAAAACTTGGGCCAGGCCACGTCCCCAATTAACATGGCGGGAATGGCGGCCCGTTCAACTGGAACCACCGAATAGCAAAATAGATATAAAAAAAAATTACGACCCATTAATTACAAGAGTATAGAAAGTATTATTAGATAATGAAATCCCAAGCGTGAAAAATTCTAGAAAATGAAAATGAAATCGAAAGCCGACTTTTAAATTCATTTCAGGAGGAAAAAAATATCAAAGGAAGGAGGTCCTAGTCATGATCTCTGACAAATTAGTGACGTACACGTGCAACATTTTCATATTCCTTTGCTAAGCTAATTTTCATTAATTAAACTTCAACGGGTAAATACAATTAAGGACAATCTTCCAAATTTCACGTCCTAGATTTTCTTTTGTTTTTACCGGTTCCGACGGAATCGCAATCGACTTATCATTGATCAAAATATTGACGGCAATTTGACGGAAACGGGAAGAGAGAGAGAGAGAGAGAGAGAGAGAGAGGAGTGACCTGTTATCGGGATGAATGACGAGACCTTTGGAGACGTAATGGAATCCATCGATGAGAGATTGACGGCTGAACTTACTCGTGCTGGATCCTCCGCCGCCGCCAGCGTTCCTGCTCAAACCGAACTGCCTTTCGATCAGATTGAATCTGCTCCCCATCGACGACCTCAATCTCTCCCTCACATCCTGCACTTCGAACTCCTCATTTCCTTCCTCTTCTCTCTCCTCCTCCGCCGCCGCCGCCGCCTCCTTCCGCCTCTCGCCGCCGTTCATGGTCGATCAAATGAATCACAAGCTCTTCACGACTCGGCTGCGGATTATAGATTCAGCTCGTGATGAATAAAGGAGTGGAAGAATCTAGGCCGGGTGGAAATGAAAGGATTCACGAGATGCAGGCAATGCGGGAAGGGGGATTAAAAAAAGGAGGATTTGATTTTGATTGCACAAGACAGGAGGCTGTTTGGACGGTTGGAAAAGGAAAACCAATCGGGAAAATGTTTTCTCCCGAGAAAGAACAGGAGAGAAACAGAAAGGTAAAGAACAAAAGGTACTCGATTGCAACTTTCTAGGCTACCGAGATCTTCGGGCGTGCAATTTATAGACGCGCGCCCTGTCGTCTCCCAATAACAAAATAAAAAAATTTATCTATTTATTCTGGGAATTCATACTTTATTAATTGATGAACTTAGGTGTCGTTTGGAAGTTGCGATTGTTAGTGTTGTATTTGTTAAATACACGCATTGTCCACAATACAACGTTTGGAAGTGTCAAGTTGCAAAACAATGTATGTATTGTTTTGTTGTGATTGTTGGTTTAATAATTGAGCACATTTACTTTTTCCAATTATGTCCATAGTTCTTTTTGTTTTATATTAAAAGTGGAGGACAAATATGACATTTCCTTATAAAATAACTTTATAACAGTCAATTCATAAATTATAATCTCAACAACCAAACAATGTAATTTCAAAATGCATTTATTGTATCAATGCATGCATTTATATCATAGTGATTCATAACAATACAACGATTTAACATACGCAACTTCCAAACGACCCTTTATTTGTCTATTAACACAAGTTAAATCAAATAGCATATACTTCTAGCTAACATTTTCAAAATAAATAATAATAATAATAAACAATATTTAACTTTTGTTCTTTATTATGGGGAGAAATCTGTCAAAAATTCTGTAAATTTTTTCATTTGTTAAACCCTATGATACTTTTAACACTAAAATGGTTAGAAAATGACCCAAAAGGAACACCAAGGGTGGTTAAGGTGGGGAGCTAAGCCACATCTAATCCCATTTGTGAATGGAGTTTATAAAAACATTAAGAGGGAGTCTAAATGTGGTCATAAAGTTCGATTGGGGTCTATAATGGGAGCATAACTAAATTAAGTAACATTGGTTTGTAAAGAAGCAAATGAAAGGTTGCCTAAAGCTATGGAGAACCTAACGCATTAGTGCAATATTTTGATGATAATGCTAGGACTTAGAAGTATTAGAGTATGTGTAGTATGTGTAGTACGAGTAGTATTGTGTAATATTACGAGTACTAGTATGTAATTGGGTAGAGTTATATTCTTTATTAGAGTTGTAGAAGTTAGGTTATTTCCGTATTAGTGTTAGGATTATCATAGAAGTCAGTCTCTATACTCTATATAAACCCTATGTGGTATCAGTAATAAGACATAACAGTTTCTGTTATAAACGCGCTGCTACGGATCGGGAAATCGCCGGAATCGACAAAGCAAGAATACGAAAGCGAGAATCGAAAAACACAGACACACGATTTACGTGGTTCACTAACACGATGTGTGTTAGCTACGTCCACGGGCGAGAGAGAGCCAGTTTCACTATATCGAGGAGATTACAGATTACAGAGGAGTATGAGAAGTATTTATAGTACTTCTCCATGTGGGTCTAAACCTAATCCAATCTGACAAAGGAAACGGTTACAGACCAGGCCCAGAACCCGAACCCAAATAACATGCGAGACCCCCGATTACCAGTCGTAGCGGCTGATAGTCCGATTCAAGTCATATCAACAGTTTCCATCGTATTCTGATTGCTCAACAAGAACATCAATCGGCAATAACTGTAAGGAAGTGGTTAAGTACCATACATGGGCTTGTATAAGATCTATCATAACCTTTTCCCAACAACTCGAGTTATTGGGACCAACTGGTTTATGACATGGTATCAGAGCTGGTTTGTCCTTGAGGTCACATGTTCAAGTCCTCACGACTCCCAATATTAATCGTTGTCTTTCAAGCACATGGTATGGCAAGCCTTTGCAAACTTCAAGCCCATGAGTCGGCTTTCGTTTGAGGTGCTAGATTTTGCATCACTTAGTTAAAAACCGTTCAACTCGAGAGTGATTTTTTTTTTTTTTTTTGTAAATGGATCATTGTAAATTATAAATAATAACAATATGAGAGATTACAAGAGATAAAGTTAGAGATGCCAAATTTTGTGTTTATCCGTGCGAAAAACTTGATAATAAAATGATACCATTTTGATTGCGACTAGATTCTCGACTTCTTTAATAGATCCATTCTCCATCCAATTTGACAAAAAATTAAGAATGCTTGCATATTTTCCACACGAGGTTAGGGATGATACCAGAATGACTTTTTTGTCAACTCTTGGTTGTTTGTGTATTGTAGTAAGTTCAATGACAACTTTAACATTGTTCTCCCCCCCCCCCCCCCCCTACTATTCGCATTATCATATATATAAGCGATATACTTGTCAAATACAACAAGTTCAAAGACTACTCACCCATAAATCTATATCAGAAAATACATCTCCCATTGGAATAAAATGTCAACTCGAGAGGTGTTGATCATCAAAGGCATTTGATTAAACAAAGGAAGGGACACAGTTTGCAAACTTTCCTATCAAGACAACTATCAAGTTTACAAACATAAATCTCATTCTGGCTATAAAAAAAAATTGGGATAGCCACATGTGCAAAAAAGATGAGCTGTTTCTTGATGATGATCGATCTATGATGATACAATCCTAAATCCTAATTCTTTGAAATATATAGCGGCATCAATCAATATCACCCTAAAAAATTGAAATATGTAGAGATTTTGTCCAATGAGACATTTTTGGATCAAATGACTCATTCACCAAAGGAGCTAGTTAAGAAATCGATGATATATAGACCTATGTACCTTATAGTTGAAGATCTCATGCAGCTGGGGTTTTTTTTTTTTTTTAACTTCTTCCAGATCAATGAAGCGTACTATTCACAAATCCAGATATGTAAATGACGTGCATGCAACACGTGCTGTTAATAAGTTGACATGTATCTGCTCAATCGCCTTAATTAACCTCGTAAACTTTAATTAAAACGACGGCTAGGTGATTGAGGGTATTTAGGGTTGACTTCGATTGCGTTTGTAATGTTAATAAGATATAAGATGATGAATCAGCTGGTTCGATTAAGACCCAGCTTTCTTTCATTATTAGTTACATGATTTTTCACGTAATTAAGCTTAAGGATTGATTATAATATGTACTTGTAAAAAAGATGGGTCTCTCTTAATTCGTCAGTTGTATGTTTCTCGGCCGTTCATTCCTCCTAGTTGCAGTTGTACACAGCCTGGGGGCTGGGGCAGTGACTGATGCACTATAATAAATAATGGTGGAACCAACTTGCGCCAGCTTCTAAACATGTCAATTCTTATCATCTTAGGTTAGATACTTAGATTGCGTGCAAGGGCGGTAACTTGGCAACTCAAGTTGTCACTAGTTGGAAAAAAGGCATGTGATTCAAATAGGTGTTGGAAGTCCAATATAGTCGACCTTGATGAATTCTAAGGTTCTCGTTAAAATCATGTTCGATAAAGGAATGCATGTATTATTAAGATTGATTGGTATGTTCAAATGTTTTATTAGAGACGAGATAACGTGGCATAAGGTTACATTAATGCATGGTCTTGTCCATCTGCATGCATGGTTAGGGTTCACAGGAAATTTCTATGGATATGATGAGATGATGGAATACGTACTCCTTAACCATAGGCTCATACTGATGAAGGGACAACAAATATTGGTAACTAGATAGTTTCTATCTTCCTAATTTCCTTCTACATATATTGATAGTTAGGAAAACATTTTTTTAACACAACCACTTCAAAACCGATGTGCTTGTCTCTTCACACCAACCATAATCATGTACACACGCTATCATCGAACCTCAAGAATCACCGATGTGCATTGATTCAACAAGGTGTTGGTATATCAAACAAGAAACTAACTAGCTAGCTAGTTTATCATATATATATATATATATACTAGCTAGCTAGTATAATCCACACATTCATCTATTGTTTAAACCCACAAAACCAACTAGCTTTGCCTTCTTGTTTCTAATGGTAGCCACCACAAAAGGAATAGAAACAAAGAAGGGCTCATTGCTAATGTTGGTAATCCCACATTCTCATGAAGTCGTCACCACCCACGAGACTCCATTAGAGGCACTCCAAATAAGCTAACTCATCAAGTTGCTTATACTCTGGAAAATTGATTAGTTCTTGAACCACGCTTTAATTTCTGTCCACTAGCTAATTATATTGATGAACTTTGAGGGTATAAAAATTAGGAACAATTTGTTTTGCAGTTTAGTGGCTGTTAATGGTATGCAAGTAAGCACTGAGTGATCCATCCCCATCCGTACCCCACAGCTAATTCATTAAACAACCATTAAGGATCAGAGGATTCACAACGATTCACAGAGTAAATCAACGTATAGTTTAAGATTGAAAACCTATCAATTAACTATGAAAATTTCCAAATTGTGGGTGGGAGCCGCACCGTGTAGGAAGGGATTTGTTGCTACTATCTATGTGCCAATTTTAGGGGTTTAATGTCCTTTGATCACCGAATACAAATCTATCTTACATATTACCACACTAGGTAGCTCACTGAATATAAGTCAGTGTAGACTGTATGAAGTTCAAATACCAACTGGAGCCTGTGCCTCTTCTAGGGATGAATGGGCGCCAAGTTTTGAAATATGGATCCAAGACTAATAAACAAATGGTTAAGCCTGGCAAAGGAGCAATAATAAGTGATTTATCACTGGTGCAGATCCAGTGGGTTACGACTTACGGCACCTAGTAACCAATAAGGACCCTTTTAAAATCACATATGCATTTGCTTTAAGATTTGATTAATTAGTTATACCTTCATGTGCTTCGTGGTCATGCCATTATGGACTACCGAACTTATTAGTTATTGTTAGACTATGACTTGAATTTTATTTGGGTTTGTTTAGTATTTTGGGTCTATTTTGTTTGGGTTTGTATTTGGGTTTTGTTTTGCTCTTGTCCTTGTATGTTTGGACAAGGTGTTTGGTTTT